GCCTACACGTCTGGCATGAAGTCTGTTGATGGTCCTCCAATCCATGGTAAATAAGAGCCAAAACTTGACTTTGTTTCTTCTCCATGCTACAAGCGTCTTGCCAGTACCTCTTTAAATTGATGAAGAGTAACTGAAGGTCATCGGTGTTCCAGCTCACCCTCAAATCATCACCGCTCTTGGTTTCACCCCTCATTTCAAGGTCGATTGTGGAAAGCTGTCACATAAGGCATAAGGCAGCATCACCTTCCTCCATTATGAAATTGAACACCTTCATCCATCTTTTTCCTCCTTTTCCAATTCCTTCCAACATATACCTTCTTTCCTCCACACGGGAAACTGGCACTGGGCTACACCCGCATACCTGTAAACCACAGGGTAAGCAGTAAAATAAAATGTGTTTGAACTACTATCCTCTTTTCGCATGATCAAATACTCGATGCTGATTGGCTACTGGCAGAAGTGACTCACTACTACTCCATGTGCTCTTCAATCATTTTCATGGGGCTAATTAATATACCCCTTTTGACCAAATACCCACTTGTCTTTATGAAATATAGGCAACTGTGGCTGAATTGAAGAAGTGAACTCTTTTGACATAGTAGTGTATCTCGGAACAACTTTACAACACTGCCTCTGCATGAGATGTTGGCACTCTATCATCTGTACCAAAAGCTGGGCAAAACAGACCTATCTCCAGATGTAAAGAAGAATAATTAAACAGCTACTGAGTTCAAGCAAGAAGTCACTATATCCTACTTATGTGAAGCTGTTATGGCATGGGCCGGTTTGGAAAGTTTACATAGCACACCAGTAAACATAACAGTTCCAACTTTGCATGCCTCCCTGGACAACAAGGTAAAATTTATGACAGATACAATTGGTGCATTTGTAGATGAGTACATTCTTCCACAGTTTGATGTTGAAAAAGTTTTAAGTCTCGAAGAAGATTAAAAGGTTCAACAAAGGAGCCAGCATGGAGGTATCCTAAACGGTATAAGAATTATTTATAATGAAATTGCATTATTGTAAAAATAAGCCATATTAAGAGCAGAACATTTTCACGTTAACTCAAGCGTTTGCCCTGTTTACATCATAGTTCTAAGGTAACTGCAGCAAAAATACCAACATAAACAACAGTCCAAAAGAATGACTCACTGGTATGAAAACAATAATCATGTTATCTCATCTGAGAGAAGACAAAGAAAAAAATCTCATGACAACCAATTACAACAAAGACAACTAGCAACTGAATCTGGTAGGGCACTGGTAACCAATGTAGATTGCAAAGGACACTGGGGGTTGTTATATAATGAGTTGTTATATAATTTTTGTATCTGGACAATGTCCACGCATGAACCTCTCCACTGTAATCTGAATATGTAAACTTTGTTTCATGAAATTGCTTCTTATGATGAAGAACACCAACAACAATTATATCGGGAAGACTTGGAGGAAATGACTGGTATGTATGTAAATTTCTTACCATTTAAATAAAACATCAGTTAATGTAGATGACAGTTAATTGACGTCATACATATAACGCAAAGTCCTTTTCTTTGTTTTAAATAAACAGATTGCTGCACTTTAATATCTGTAGAATAATACTACAGTATCAAAAACTTTGTGCCGCATGAAGCTCTCTACTGTAATCTGAATATGTAAACTTTCTTTCATGAAATTGCCTCTTATGATCAAGAAGACGAACAACAATTATATCGGGAAGACTCAGCTGAAGACTTGGAGGAAATGAATGGTATGTATGTAAATTTCTTGCCATTTAAATAAAACATCAGTTAATGTAGATGACAGTTAATTGACGTCATACATATAACGGAAAGTCATTTTCCTTGTTTTATATAAATAGATTGCTGCACTTTAAAATCTGTAGAATAATACTATTAAAAACTTTGATTTCTGCACACTTCAATCATACAATTATAATAGTTTCTCTTTGTACAATGAATACTGATTCCTAGATTCGTAGTTCAGGTGCACTGATGATTCAGAATACTGCTTTTTAAAAGTAAAATGCACTCATTCCATGAAAATATCAGATACACCGCATTCTGCATGGATTGGTGTGAACAAGAATAATGGCTTTATAGTCAGTGCCTACTGTACATGTGTTGCTGGGTTTCTATTATTAAGATAGAGCCTGTCTGGCATGTTGGGTGGTGCAATTTAAAAGCAGAATGCACTCATTCCATGAAAACATCGGATGCACCGCATTCTGCCTGGATTTGTGCCAGCAAGAATAATGGCTTTATAGTCACTGCCTACTGTGCATGTGTTGCTTGGTTTCTCTTACCAACATAGAGCCTGTCAGGCATGTTGGGTGGTGGAATTTAATTACAAGTCTCCATTTAATACAGGTTGGCAACAATAGAAATGACCATTTCAGGTACTTTTCAGGTGTCCACATCTGCTTAATAAAGGTTTCGTTTACAGTAAATAAGGGAAATAAATTTGGGGATTTAGGCTACTGTCTGCTTATAGAGGGTGGCCCCTTAATACAGGTTTCATTGTAACTGCCTTAAATTATGAGGAAGCTATCGCTAGTTTGAAGGACAGATTTGAAATAAGCAAATGATTAACGAACATATGAAAGGTCTTCTTATCATGGCACCTCTCACTACCAGAAATGATTTGAAGGGACTGAGAAAAATATACAATCAAGTGGAAGCACATGTGAGAGGACTAAGCGTACTTGGAGTCTTATGGTAGCCTACTGTCATGAGTCCTAATGAATAAGATACCCCAAGAAATACGTCTGACTGTGGGTAGGAAAATCAAAGGGGGTGACTGGGAGCTAAATCCTTTATAGAGGGTGTTGCACCAAGAGCTAGAGGCACGGGAGAGAGCCACAGGAACACCAAATATTTACAGCCCCTCTACGAATTCACCACAGCTTCAGCTACATTTTTTGGGGGTCGACCCAAAACAAATTTAGATGGGTTTGTATGGAGTTTTCTCAGCATAACTGGGCTACGATCTCAGAGACAATTTGCCCCAAAATGCTCATTTTTGGCAAGTAGGCCTCTTGGACTTTGTTCTTTCAGAATATCCTGACAAATCCCATAACTTCAGAAATTTCATTTTTATGACGTGACACTTTAGTACTCTATAAGGAAACTTGCTTATATATGGTTGAAGTCTCACTGAGCTGGAAAGTTACTTATGGTGGATGCCTCTCTAAAATGGAAAGTTACTCATGGTTAAAGCCTCTCTGAAATGGAAACTTGCCTATGGTGGAAGCGTTTCTGAATTGGAAAGTCCCAAATCACTGCAGCTATCATGGTGTAATAAGTCACATCATCACCCCAAGATAATTTTTTAGAACATTGGTAAGGCTCAGATAGCTTTTGAATTGCCATACAACGTTTTTTTTCCAATATTACCCAATCACTCAATTTTTTTCCCTTTTTATAGAAGCTTGACAAAAGACTGAAAGCTGTCTCTGTACAGGAAAGAGAAGGTGACCTGTGTCCAGCCCTTGATGTCAGCCTTTTGTCCTCTGATGCAGAAGATGAGTCCTTTAAACCAGGCCTCTTTCTTGGAGGACAGAAAATTTCAACAAACGTTGTAAATTTTTAGATGAAAGAGCAAAGAAAGCAACGACTTCTCAACAAAGAATACAGCCAGTTAGTAGAAGACCTTTCATTGTTCATGAAATAGCAGTAGGCGTTGTTCCAGAACATTTAAAATGGGCTGCTACTGAGATGAAGTGAAAACTTTACATTAGCTCGATAAAGAGCTTTTGTCTTATAGTTGGGGCCTTAAAGGTTGAGGTGAGTATTATTAAGTCAAGATTTTATAGATGTAAAAAAAGGGGTGATTCTGTTGAGTGGACTGAAGAGTTTCTATCTAAGACTTTATAGATGGCTATTAGCCAGGAACAATTATTTTCAGAAAAAAATGTGGACTTTATTTTTGCTGTAACTTTTAAAATAAAGATAATTGTACTACTATTTCAGCATTCAAAATACTGCCACAACAGCATGGAATAAAAAAAACTATGAATCAAGTTTGATTTCTAAATGTTGTGTATACATTTTGTCTAGGTCTAAATGACAGTGGCTTCAACTCAGCAGCTAATTGTGGTGTAACAGAAGCAAGTAGTTTTATCACATCTTTTCCCCGACATGAGAGACCACTACTGGCATAAAAAGGCCGAGGGCAAAACTTACAAAAGCCAAGAAAAGTCCAAGAAGGCACACTGGGCCAGAATGCTCTGTCTTCACCCGCTAGCAGAAACAGGGAACTGAGAGAGGCCAATGCCCTGCTCACTTAGCAGCTTGCTCAGTCCAGGGAGGCAGCAGCAGATATTCCACTGCATGAAGCCGCTAGACCCAGTAAAGTGCCCAGGGCTATTGCCGCACAACACAAAGTAAGCTTTGTTTTGAAAATATCAGACAAACTACAGGCAAAAAAGCAGTTAAAAAACATCTACTTCAAAATGATTTTGCCAAATATCACTTATTGTCTGTCAGTTTGGGGCAGCTGCTCTCTAACACTCTTCGATGAAATTGAGAAATCACATACTAAAGCAGCACGGATTATTATCAGTGCATATATTCCTTGTATTTAAATCTACAGGATGAATGATTTACTTTGTAGTCAAACAAAATTAATATTGCAAAACCTAGTGACTACAATTCAATTCTCGTGATTTTTTTATGTATGAAGCAGCATCATGGCATTCAACATTATATAATGTGAAATGAGCTTGACATATGCATATAAAACGTGGTATGGGGCTGCAAATCACTTTAATAATACGATCTACTTTCTTTCACTTTTTAGCTTGTAATTTACTTTCTAGGTAACCCCTGTTGGTGATCACAGGCACAGTATCTAAAAGGATGCAAAGCACAATTATGAAGCAGCCTGCCATGGGGCAGAACACAGTGATTCTTACAACAAGTCCAAACAGGGCAAACATCAGGTTCTGAGTGATAAAGAGTTCAAAGAAGAACCAGCTTAGTTACCTTGCATGGTTA